TAGCTGTGGTAAAATGCCAATACCTCTTTTGCAAAATTGGCCTTTTATTTTGGACAAAAAACATTACATTGCCAGGTCAAAAACTCAACATGTATTGTCTAAAAATTAAACGCTGTGTGAATTGTTGTGCCCCAGAAATAATACATCACAGCTGTGAGGGAATTGTGGCCAACGCAGTCAAATGTTTCATTATGCAAGAGGACAAGCAAGTCTTTGAGACAAATCACCAGGTAACTGCTGATGAATTTCCACTACGGATACGTAAACAGGAGAGTCAATAGTTGCCGAAACCACAGCTGCAAAGTGCACACCCCATCCATCCTCACCGCCATCCTGTGTTTGGCATTTGACCGTGGACTCTTGTTTCAAAACGGGACTCTTCCGCTGGAATTCTTGGTTACGGTCCTGGTTTTCTATGAAGATATTTTGGATTTCACATTTTGAAACATTTATTACAGTCAAGAAACGTATGACATTTTACTTTTTCACAACTGTTTTCATTCACGCAACTATGAAATGACAGCTTTAGTAAAACATGTACGAAATAGGCGCCAGATGATACTTTTATAAATATTGACGTATACGTAGGAGCTTTTAGAGCCTCCTGCAGACCCATTCTTATAATGATCTTTTTAGATCTGCCCACAATGCAGTTTTTTTAGAAGTTTTAGTTATTTTATTCCTCTGTTATTTTTCAGTTGATCCATTCCATGCAGTTAGCCAACAACGCGGCCTTGCAGAGGACAAGTGTGGCATGGCACGCTTTGCAATCACGCTGAGATGTGGACTCATTCGCAGAGCCAAACCGCTGAGCCATGGCCTTGGAGGAAATGCAGAAACTTTGAGACCACCCATCCTCCTCCTGCTGACGTTCAGAACCGGCAGCAAACATCAGGCATGCCTCTTCCTCTGCTCCACGCTTTGCATTTTACTTGTAAATATGTTCTCTATTTCAATGAAGTATTCTAATTCGCCGCATGTCCACGGTAGGTGAAATTGTTATCGTTTTTCACTTCATTTCCACGCTTTCAAACGCTTTCCCACTGTGCACGTCGCCCACCGTTAAAATGCTCCTTGCGATGGTGGCGCACAGACGCGACTCTGTGTGTGTGTGTGCACTGCCGCCCCTTACGCAGCGACTCGCAAGGTCAGCAGATATAATGTGACCTACGAATCATTCCGCTGGCAACTGGAATCCCAGCACAGCGAGGGTTCGGGTGCGGCTCGGACATTTCCGTGCCAGGGTAAGCACCGCGACTGTCATCTGGAGGCACTTATCACAACTCCGACCATATGCTTTTGAGGATTTCTCCCACCGCGCTGTCTATCACATTCTCTGAATGCCAGTCATGAGCGTTATGAACCTGACTGATAGGGTCTCTGCGAATACTGACCCATGTGAATCCAGTTCTTAATATCCAGCAGCATGTCCCAATGCTAGGGATGCATAGAGGGCTGGATTGTCAAGAGGGTGAATACCTTTTAATGGCATTATGCTCCGAATGTAAAATTAAAACGTAAGACGATAGAATCAACAGGAGGAAAGCACCTGATTGTGGGTTTTCTCATGCAGCTTGATGAAGTGCCGAGCTATACTCCCGAAGACGTTACAATGAAACGCTGTGTCGTCAGTATAACAATGTGACGAGCTCCGCGCTGGAGAAAGATCGATGGGCAAGACGAATAGGGTCAGCTCCAAGATGGACAATGCAGTGCAGAAACATGAGATACGGCGACGGCTTTGGGAGGCCTTAATTTAGCAGTGGATTGATCTTGGCTGCTGCTGCTGATGATGACACGGCTAAGACCCGAGCTGCGCTGGTGATCACAGATAAACGGCGCGCCATGAGAAGGTAAACAATGACAGAAAGCGTGTCCTGCACACTCCACAGAGTATTAGGGCGATGGCGTGCTTTGGCAGTGCCTCGCAGGAATAATTCTTCTGTGGCGGCTAAGGGATCAGACTACTGACTCACGCAGCAGCTCACTCGGCTTCCCCCTCGTCATGCAGTGACTAAAGCAAGGGGTAAATACTTGCAAACCACAGCCGTCTCTACCCTACATCAATGTGCAATGTCTCACGCCGAGATGTGTAAAGCATATGGCGGGTCACCAAATACTTTCCATGTTTAACGAATGGCACAATATTTTTTTCCGTGTCGTTTGCCAGAGCATGCGTAACATGTTTGTAAGTAGCAGCTCTGGGTTTTTCTTAATTTCTTGGCTTTGAGTGATTTAGTCACAGCTATTTTGTTTTGTTTCATTAATGATGCACGTACTAAGTGTTGTCTTTATTCCTAAGGCAGTGTTACATTGAAGAGCCTTTGCCCTCCGCTGTCATCATTACTCTCCCCTCTATGATCATCATTATTTACACTGCCATACCTTAAAAGGCTTCTAGTTGTTTTTTTCCTCCCAAGCTTAGGTATCTCATATATGAACCATTCGTATTCATATATGTCAGCAGCATATCTGTTGATATAGTCTGTTGATAAAAAACTCACTATACACATATAACAAGTTAATTGCATGCACATACATCATACACATAAACGAACTCATTAAACCAATACAGTTTTGTCATTAAATGTAGGCTGGAAAGGTAATATGATCAGCTACACGTTTAACCACAGATGTCTCTCCAGGGCTAACACACATCACAACAGTTTATTTCTGAGCTGGATCTTAAAAGCGAAGATCCAAGCCAGGTTCGTGTATACAAAGACAAAGATCCCCCGTGTAGCCTTAACAGACTGTTGGGGCAAGTGCAAGTTAGCGAGCACCTACGGAGGCCGGTAACGGTACACGAGTGGGTGAGTGGCCAGCACCACGCCCGACCGCCTTTGTCTCCCCAGTGACGATGTTTACACACCGCACCAGGTACTTATTTTAGGCCGAGTTAAGCTAGGGGAGGCCCAGGACCAGTTCAGGTTGGCCGTGAGCGGGAGTCGAACTTCGGTCGCAAGCGTTTGCAGCGCATCGCACAAAGCACTACTCCAATAGCATGCACATATATACACACACCCACAATCTAATGAGTATACAGACAGTGTTTATATATATTTCACAAAAGCGTTTAGAAAAATGTGCCATGGACAATTTATAACTTCCAATTTCCCGAGTGACATCATTTGAGTGTTAATGCTAATTGGTAGAGGAATGAATCATCCATTTCAACCAACTGGCCCAACACGCAGACTGGAAAATACAAATTCGCACTCGTTTTTTTTACCATTAGCTCAAATAGAAACCAGATTGTACAGCATATACTATATGCGGCAACTGTACTGCATCGCCATTGCACATATATAAATGTTTATTACAGTGAATTTGCATTCAGAAGAGGCTAAACAAACATTCTGGCTGCAAAGAGGAAGTAATGAAGCCAAAAGTTCAATAACTCAGCTGCCATTGCAAATTGGTGGCATATCTCCAGCAGTGTCCACAGCATCAATTCTGCTTCATGAGCAATTAAGTAGCACGACGAGAAAATAATGATTGCGCTTCACTGTTCCACGCTTTTTCATTCTTGCTGCATGTTTAGTCGACAACTGCTAAATACCACTCGTATCGGGAGGGCTCTTTGTATGACAACCACTATATAATTCATTCACTCTTACATTTAGATTTTTGAAGTTCATTGTGCTCTCCCCTAGGAATTGTGACTTGTCATTGTGACATGAAGGTCTACCGCCCGCGGTGTCAATCCACTCCTCGGTAGGGCCTCCCCTATCCCTTGTGCGACATTTGAGAAACATTTAACCATACTTCACTACGCTGGTTTGTTGGCGAAGGTGGTGGTCAAACAGCTCAGTGGATTTTAGCGCACTGCCCTCTGCTGGCCACAACGCCTTCCACACCTGTTCTGTGCATGGTGGTCACCCCCAGCCCAAGCACTATCCGGGCTCAACCCATGCTTAGGCTTCGATGTGTGACGGGAATTCTGTATTTGTTGGTCATTATGTGCTTTGTCATTTTGTCAGAGAGCAGCTTGTGTGGTGGCTGTGGAAGTTGGGGGGTCACTGCAGTGCGGTAAACACTTTGCAACAACGGTAGTTATCATTACAGAATGTTTGCTGTAGTTTCCCATAAATGTTTACTCGTTTAATGCAACAACAAAAAAAACCCCTCATCACACTACAAACATTCCGGTGAAGGTTTATATATATGTATTTTTTTTAAAGAGTAAGAAAATGTAAAAACGAAGGTTCTTTAAGCTGTACCTAATGCGGAGCTTTAAAAAAAACGATTACCCTAACTGCTGTAATTACCAGCGCATAATGCAATTGCTGAGTTTGAGGTTTTGGAATAATTGCTTGTGGATATTTACTCGGTCCATTTAAAAGCCAGCGTTCGCAGAGATCAAAGCTGGCCGCGTTCACATTAGCCCATTTTTGTTTGCTATTTGTCAAATCTCAGGGACGCATTGTTTCCACGACATTAGCACGCGTATAGTAAGAACGATATGTCCCTGTGTGTGGCCGTGATTGAAACCGATTAACATGGAGACTGCAGCCCTTCCACGCCAAGCGCCATGCATGCGGATGACTTGGCAAGACGACTGCGCCGAGAGGAAAGTACAAAGACAACTTTGAAAAGTTCACTCCGCAAAATGCCAAGTGACCCACGAGGGAATGTTAAAGCAAAATGTTGTTGTTGTTAAATGGCTTTTGCGCACCAGTGTGTTGCTAAGCCAACGTCAATACACGTGCTCAATAGAGAAGAGGTCACAACCACAATCGCGCACAATGAGTTAATGCGCGTCAACGTTCGTCGATAATGACGGTGTATTGTAAAGGGTGGTGGTCCATATGTGTTGCGACCCACAATTAATTGACCCCCGAACATTTTTGTTCCTTTGCAAATTCATTTCGGTTTTAAATAAAGCCCTGCTTCAATATGCTGTGTGTGTGTATACGAAGAGGTTACGGGATGCTCTGGTTCAGTGCAGAGTGTGGTGCAACATCAGCATCAGCAGCAGCAGGAGCAGCAGTTCTTACATTGCAGATCCACGCGTGCCCAAGCGCCAACGCAGAGCGCGCACAGGAGCAGGGAGACCCTCCTCGCATCGCCCATCGTCTTCATGAACGTGCAGGAGGAGCTTCCTCAAGTCCTCTCGCTTGTGCACGCGCTTGCACGGGCTTCCTCCAAGACAACCCGCGGTTGTGGTGTGGACGTGCCTACTCGTTGGTTGATAACACACGCGGTGGTTTACTGCCTCTCAAACTCTGAATTTGTCGTGGGGTGACCACTGGCTTCACCCGGGGCTCTGGCTTCGCCTGTTGCCTTCCCAAGAAGCTGCAGTTTGACTGCCTCAATTCTCCGCTTGCCCGAGAATATCATAGCCACCCCCAACACGTACACCCCACCCCGTCCCATACCCGTGCATCTTAACCCACACGCCCACCCACTCCCTCTCCACCCCACAGCCTCCCTCCACCCCACAGCTTCCCTCCACCTCCACCCCACAGCCTCCCTCCACCTCCCCCTCCACCCCACAGCCTCCCTCCACCTCCACCCCACAGCCTCCCTCCACCTCCACCCCACAGTCTCCCTCCACCCCACAGCCTCCCTCCACCCCACAGTCTCCCTCCACCTCCACCCCACAGCCTCCCTCCCTCTCCACCCCACAGCCTCCCTCCACCCCACAGCTTCCCTCCACCCCACAGCCTCCCTCCACCCCACAGCCTCCCTCCACCCCACAGCCTCCATCCACCTCCTCCTCCACCCCACAGCCTCCCTCCACCTCCACCCCACAGCCTCCCTCCACCTCCACCCCACAGCCTCCCTCCACCCCACAGCCTCCCTCCACCCCACAGCCTCCCTCCCTCTCTACCCCCACCCTCCCACGAACGCCCCCCTCCAACACTCAGTTCCCAGCTGAGCCCAACAACGCTGCCCCTGGGCCCACTCCTGCAGCGCTCCAGCGCGTGAGACGTCGCAATGTCTCGTCACCCCTCCACCACACAACGGCGTTCCATCCCCACGTCACTTTAAAAACAAATCCGAATAAGTGCCATTTATTTGCATAAAAGTTATTTGGGAAATGTTGACTTAAAACTTTCGTGACTGCAGGAATTCATATTCTTTGGTTCTTTCGGTAAAGTCACGCAGGTAGGAAATAAAATTAATAAAAATTCATCATTAATAAAAAATAATAACGGACCGCTTGTGTTGCGATCGAAACGTCGTGAATTTTTGGTTTATTGTGTTTTATTTTTTATTAATTTAGTTTTTATTTGGGAAAGTTGACGAGACATACAAAACATATACGTTGTAAAAATACGCTACTCACAAGCAGGATTTTTTTAACATTGCTTACATTACTTTTGGAATACACAAAATTGTATTTTCGACACAACGAATGCATTTTAATTCGAAATAAGTTATACTGGACACATTCTATCCAATCGTAACATCTATACGCTATTTAAGTTGTTGAAATAAGCTACACGTTCTAAAGTCTATCCAATCAGTTATATGGGCACTATTGTACTGTACTGACTTTGTATGGATAACTTTCAGACGTGCTTCTGCGGCCGTCTGGAACGCCTCTTCCTTCCGATATTCGGAAGCCACTGTAACTTTGCACTTTTACATCTAGATGGAAAACTAATTTCTTTATAACTGTTTTTTTTTGTGTGCGTTTAATTTGTTGTCCTTCCCCCGCACCTCCGATTAGCACGGTTGGCTACGTACGGTGCGAAAGAAGTTCAACATGCGTGCAGCACATACAGTTGAGGTGCAACTTTCGATCAGAGTCTCGGTTGTAAAATCCAGCTGCTGGCTTCTGGACACAAGTAATCAATGCCACCACGTAGATAGGTGCTTTGAACCTATCTTTGAACCTATCTACGTGACTTTACCCAAAGACCCAAGGATATTAATTCCCAGCAGTCACGAAAGGTTTAAGTCGAGTCAATGACAGTTGTGGCACGATGCGCTCCACTGTTGGTTGGTGTTACTCGCCACAGTCACATTTAGGCCATTCGTTCATTTTTCATTTCTCAGATCGTGCAAGGTAGCCAAACAGCCCACTACTGACGGGGCAGTGAGCTTTCAGGCAGATGGAAGGAAGAATTCACGACGAGGTGTTTATTCGGGACGATGGCGTTCTCCCGATTGTTCCTCCGCTCGTCTTCGATGCTGCCACGCTGTGCAGCTGACCGAGTCTCTGCGCAGTGTTTTCAGAGTGGCCCTTGTCGATTCCAGGCGCTTTTGTCGCGATGTGAGTGTGGTCCGTGTGGATGGGCAGGCGCTCCTGGCGACCGCCACAGAGAAACAATATCCCGTAAACGATCACAGCTACGCAACTTACATGTTTGATACGTTTGTAGAGGAGTAGAATGGGGAAGTGGCATCACCTGTGCTGTCCAGGGCGATGACGTGACGTCATGCGCTCGGGGCAGCAGAGTGACGTCACGGCTCCTCAAGGATAAAAGGGGACCCCGTGACGTAAGCGGGGTCGTAGCTGGAGAGTAGGGTCTGAGAAGGGTGGAACGGGGAGCCAGGGGCAAAAGGGTAGGGATAGGGGAGAGCACAGTGCCAGGCTAGAGGTGGCTGTGCTCCTCGCTCGGCCGTGTTGGTTGATCCCACGGCCGGGGCAGAGGAGACAGCACAGGGCAGCCGGCTGTGTCGGGACCTCGCCCGGGACCCCTAACCCCTGGGGAGTTGTTCACCCCTGTGTATTGTTAAACATTTGTAATAAAACCTTGGCGGAAGTCCTTACCTTACCTTAGCCTCCGAGTGAGTCGTCGGGAACTCCTTTACACGTTTGTTGATTTGAATAAGCTGAGTTATCCCCCCCTACTTCTTCTTGGAAACCCAGCGAATGATTAGCTGTTTTAATGCAATGAAACTATTCACCACTTAAATTAACTACCAGTGATGATGATGATGATGATTTCGTATGGCCATTGAAGAGCAACTAATAGAGATTCAGTTCCAAGACGTGTAGCCATTCAATTTATTTATCGAAGTGTTGGTGAATTTAAGATGCATGCATTTGCGGGGCAGTGCGACATTCCATGGTTTGATTTTCGGATCCGCGGTCACACACAGGGGAGTCTTGTATTCTTCACCTGTGCATTTGGTATTCCCAGTTGCCGTAGTTTGTGCAGATTCAGTTAAGTGCTGTCCATTTTGTGGAGAATGGCAGTGGCCCATTGTGGTGGTGGACTCGCTGATCACCTGTGTAGAGGAAAATGGGAGCCGGGCAGTTTCGAGGTGAAGTTGTTGATCAGCTGTTTGTTTGGGCACGTTGCTTGAATCCCATGTACAGTATTAGGCCGTGCCGTGTTCGTAAAAATGTGCGTTATGCAGAGTTTGTGCATAGCTCCAAAATGGCTTTCTGGATCTTAACCGTAGATGTGGGATATTTTGCACAGCACCGATGATTGTGAGGTTTGGGTTGACTTCTGACTGGTGCAGCTTATTGAGTAATGCAGCGTCGCTGTGAATATCTAGTGGTACGATATTTCACAGTACCGGAAACCAAGGTTATGTGGTGTATTGAAAAGTTCCTGCGATATCAGTCCAAATTATGATGTTCAGGAGCCAACAGTGGTGGCTCTCTGCCCACAATGGGACGTAGTTCTCTGCGGTTGGGTACGCGAGGGCACAATGGCCGATGTCCCAAGCACTGAGGCATCTGCCCCCCACCCCCCCCAGCTTGTAGCAGATAATCTTGTCTTGGTTTTGACAGTAGCCTTGTTTAGGTTTTCATTCAAAGTCAATGTGCGGTCGAGTGTCACGCCAAGGTAGGTCGTCCTCGGCTCATGTCGCACCTTTTCGCCACAAAAGGTCCCATAGAGTGCGAGGTGTCGGTGCTGTCGTCGACGAGATGAATCACCGAGGCAAGCGATTCACCTGGGTTCGGTCTCAGTCGCCAATTTTGGACGGACTCCGTCATGATGCCGAGGTCGGATTTGAGAGTGGCCTCCACCTCACCGAGGCTGTGGGCTCGTGTAGCCTGGGGCACGTGGTCCGTGTATACGAACTTGCGGGACGATGCCTGCTGCATATTGCTCGTTTAGAGTATTGCAGCAAGTACAGACCCGTGAGCAAGCCCCCGTTATTCAGGATGCCAGGCGTACTACCTTGTTCGCCCAAGCACACACGTTTCTTTCAGGTGCCCGCCATATTCCAAAGCAACTGCGGCGTCCAGTTTCAGCATGAGACCTTGCTTGCAAAGCATATCACAGGCCGAATAGAGATCAATGAATGTGGCTTTTATTTCGAACTTGGCTTCGATGCTCGCTGTCAGGGCCAGGATTTGATTGCAGCAGCTTCTTTGTGGCCGGAACCCGGCGTGTTCATTTGGGATGATTTAATGATGGAGCCCGATTTTTTCTAGGAATCAGAACTTTCAGCTTGTCCACAGAAGTGATATCGGCCAATAACTCACAAGCTCATCCCAGGTTTTCACAAATTTCAGAAGGGCTATGACCATGGCCTCCCCCAAAATTCGGGGAACTTGATCGGTCTTGAGCACATTGGTAAAACTAAAACATTTTTTTTTAATAGTGAAGGCCCACTCAGCTCTTTTTTGAATCGACCTGGCCACAAATGATAACTCAACGGTGTGGCTTATCATGTGGAAATGTATTGCAGCCAAATACTCTAAACGCGTGTTTTTTTTATTGTGGAGGAACAAACCGGAGGACTCGGAGAAGAATCCATGCAACCACGGGGAGAACACGCAAACTCCAAAATATACAGGTGTCAGGGTCGGGATTAAACCCTCCTGTATACCAGGCAGGTAGTTAACATCTCACCACCCAGGAGAGTCAGCCACCCCCGTCCCCTTTTGCACAGGTTATGCGACGAGCACGCCATCCTTACCAGCAGCCATTCATTTTCTTCGTTGCCCTGGTAGCAGCCTGAAGTTCTTCATCTGGAAAAGGCGCCGATAGCGGAGATGATGAAGAGCGCACGGCCACTGCCTGGCACAGCTAGCACGCTTCTCTTCCCACGTGTGATGTTGTTTGTCCTGCAGGTCGTTTTGAGTTCGCCACAATCTACGCTGCGATGGAATGTGACTTGCCTTTGCGGATTAAAGACCTGCGCCTGATTTGTAGAACCCAGGCATTTTAGCGGGACCCTGGCTTTGTGACTTTGAGTCTGTAAAATCAAAGCTTTCAACACAACCTATCTACCACTGGCATCTGCAGTGGTAGAGTCCAGCCACTCAAAGACACTTTGTCAGATGTAGGTCGCCAAACTTTTTATTTAAGGAGCTAACCGTGAAACTGAAATAAATAACAATAATTTATATCGGTTTCCAAGTTGTGCTCCACATATGCTTCTCAGACTTCTCTGCCTCAGGAATGTAAGGCACTTTACCTGTGATTGAAATGGTAATTG